TATGTATGCTCATCGGCAAAAAAATAGCATGACCAAGAAAGATCTTGATGAAATTTGTGACACTGCTTCATACTAGCATACTATGAAGTCGTTTAGAATTTCAGGTGGGATGAATATTAATGGAGAAAACATGCCAATTAATCCAATTTCAATAGTGGCCAAGGGGTCATACTAATCACCCAAAACGGTTACATAGATGGTGTTTACTGATGAAATGTGGTATGAACACACCTACAGATGTGCAAAAAAATCAAGCAAAGTTTCAAGATTGTGAGTTGAAGCAATTTGGAGAAAACTTGCTAAATGCTGGAATTAAAGGGGTGAAGGGTTGACGCCATTGAAGGCACCAGTTTCCTTTCCTCCTTCCTTCAAGCCACTTACTTATTGAGCTGTTGTTGAAAGTTCAATCACAAGGCAGTGCAAAGATGAGATCTCTGAATGCAATTTCAACAAGCTGTTCGGATGTTTCATCAATGTAGGGTAACTGGGATGCTTACATGCATCAACTTGGTGCATGCATCATAATTTTTCCTTTGATTGCAGTTACGAGGAAAAATATTGAAGAACTAGTAATCAAAACTATATGGTTCTTTGGCCTCAAAAACAACGGTAGAAATTGTGAGGTGGGGTCTGAATAAAAATGCATGGTATGCTTTAAAAAAAATATGTGGGCTTTGAAATTGCTCTTATCTTTTACTCAAGTAAATGACAGACATTCTGCAAATTTGTCAAATTTGTTGAGCTGCATAGAAAATGGCACCATATAATTGAAAACAGTGGTTTCTTGCAAAATTTGTGATTTTTGCCTACTTTGAGCATCAGTTTATCAGACAATACCCAACTTTGGACTAGAGCAAGGGGAAACTGATGTCATCCAGAGTCTGACTACTGGCTGCAACAGGATAATTATCATGTCAGGCAATGGAGTTTTTAGGACTCAGGATAGAAAGAGAGGTAGTTGAACCACGAGGAGGGAAATAACATTACCTTGCAATGGCGAGCATGAGTTTCACTTCCCCAGGAAATGTTTTCAAGCCTTGTTCATGCACATCAATAGCCACGAGAGGCTGATCCAAACGGACATACAGTCGTCCCAGGTGCAAGTATGTCCCTGAAAAAGACCAAAAGAAAGATGAAGTTGAATAGAAAATTCAACTTCATCTTTCTTCATTTTACATGTCCAAGCACCAGTCATTATAAGGAAGTAGTGTTGTGCCCTGAAAGCTTCTTACAGTGTTCTTCACTTGAATCAACTGGGTTTTTATTGGAGTCCATTCTGTAATGGTGGCAAAACCCACCCTATCCAGAACATGCCAAATTGGAGCCAAGTTAAAAACACTGCACGACCTAATCACATAATTGAAGGGCTTAGTGGAAGGAGGAGATTTCACTCATCAGCCTTGATTGATTCTCACTAATATGTTGGTCATTCCTTCTCCCATTATATTGGAGCCAAGTTAAAAACACTGCACGACCTAATCACATAATTGAAGGGCTTAGTGGAAGGAAGAGATTTCACTCATCAGCCTTGATTGATTCTCACTAATATGTTGGTCATTCCTTCTCCCATTATGTCCTACTCTATGAATTGAAATTTACAAGCATCAGGGTCACGGAAATATAAACAATAAAAACAAAAAGCATGCAAGAATGTACCTGTGGATATTGCAGGATGTGCTCATGAAGCATGCTGAAGGTGCACACAATAACAGGAATTTTCCGCTTCACATTCAACCCACAAAATCTCTAAGAAGCATAATGAAAAGTAAATAAATCTTGCTTCATTCACACAGATCAATCTGAATGAAAAAAAGATCTAGGTTGTGATAGGAGAGAAAAAAAATGGAAGCAACAAGGGAAGCTAGAGAATCAGCAGAAAAGAAAGGCTCACGAATCATGGGGCTAGTTTTGATGGAACTCCTGAATTGCTGCTCAGCATCCCGGATGAGACCAAGGCGTTCATAGCATCTTCCTAATTGGAACTTCCACCACCAGTCTGAGAAACTTGCCACTTGTGTTGCTGCTGAGGCCAATTCCAAGGCCTGCCATGGCCACAAGGAATTGGGGAAGAAACAATCACAGAACGTTAGAAGTACAATGGTATGAAAACTAAGGGTGGATTTTTGAACAGAGAACTATCCAATAATGCAGCTTTATTCCAGGGAAAATACATGATATTTCCTGGAAATAAAACAGCATTATTGGATAGTTCTCTGTTCAAAAATCCACCCTGATAGTCTACACTAAGACTTTTCTTTCTTTTCAGAATGCCTGCAGTAGTTTTCCAAGTATTATTTTTCATGTTCCAGCAAGTCTTAGTATTGCCAAAATGATATCATATATATTTTGTGTTCACATGCCTGCAAAAAAACATCCAAATGAGTCAAAAGTCAATATTCACAGTGAATACCATGACATCTACCAATTTTCTTCCTTTCAGGTTGGAACCAATTGATGAAGCATGTCACTAAAATGAACATGCGGAGGCCATCTTGTATGGTCAGGCAAAAGCAGAATTTAGCCAAAGAGATGTAATACCATGACATCTACCAATTTTCTTCCTTTCAGGTTGGAACCAATTGATGAAGCATGTCACTAAAATGAACATGTGGAGGCCATCTTGTATGGTCAGGCAAAAGCAGAATTTAGCCAAAGAGATGTGGCTGCAGAATTTAATCACTTACATCTTCACAGTGTGCCAGTTACAACCTGACATAAGTGTAGCATGAAAGGAAGAAGTGGGGGGGGGCATGGGAACTTTGGGATACTGTCATGCATTTCTGGGTTTTCCTTATTTCTTTTTGGGTTCTTTTCTTGAAAAGTGCTCCCCCTTGTCTCCCCAACGTTATACCATTGCAATCTGGAGTGCCAAAACTGTTGGCTCAGTTCAAGGAAACCAGTTCAGTGGCCAATAAGTCAATCTGAAGACATCTGAGAATGACAAGTGATAAACATGTAGCCAGAAAAGAAACACAGAAAGTTGTTGCACCAGACAGTTATTGAAAGTGCAGTTTCAAATGGTAGTATCCATTACAGCTGCATGTACAGCCACATCAGCGGATATGAGAGAGGATCTAAGTTTTTCTCTCAAAGTAGAAGCAATGTGAAGAGATTGAAAGTTGGTACTTATATTCCACCATCCTGTTAGATTAGCAACAGTTGCTTCTATATGCATTTCTTTTTGGTTAGATCTGTCATATTTAGAGAATGGTGGAGACAAGTGGTGTAAATTATAGAGCAGTGATATCACTTTTCCTCTTTAAATAAAACTCATGTTGACTTTTTTTTTAAATAGAAATACTTTTAGAGTATTCTAAATCTCAAAGAAAAGATTCCATGAAAAGCACTTTGAGTGTGACAATTAAGGAGTTCATCATCACACTCCCACAAAATATACAAGAAGTTCATATTATAGTTCATTCAGTTCAACTTTGCTATGTTGGCATTGCTTGGTTTACAGTAGCTCATTAATTTTGCACTGTCATCTGATAATCAAATCATCAGAAAGGGGCTTGGAGGTTATCAGTGGTGGACCTAGGAGTTCCTGGCACTCATGAAGCAACTTATCAGGATTTCTAAAATCATTCATAAATGATGCCTGCCCCCTCCACCCAGGAGTAGCATGACACTATCTGGCAGAGGTGTCAAAGGGAAATCACCCTCTACCCTCAGGGGAGAAGAAGACTGATGGCATTTAATGGCCCCTTTGAGAATTAATAGTGTAGCAAGGTTGGACTGGATAGACTATACCTACTTTTCATGAGTCAAAAACTTCATTTTGGTCAACCTCAATGGCAGTCACAATGGATTGGATGTGAAGTCATCAAAGGTTCTGCCAATATAGTAATCAAGTCACTTGCAGAGTTTCAAAATGAGTAATACAAAGCTCAGTCAGGACATAATGAATAAATATTGATACTTGAAGGAAACATTGAAGATGGTAAACATATAAATACTTAATGATGTAATATTTATTTTCCTTCAAGATGTAAGAAAAACATCTGCAATCATTGTACTGTCAAAGTAATGAGAATCCATGATAGCACCAGATTCACCTGCAATCTCAATTTAAATGTCAAAAAAGAAAACTGATCTGGAAAAAGTGAAAAAATAAAAATGTGTCCATTGTACTTCAATCCCTTTTCCTTTCATTGAACATAGACTTGTTGAGTTTAGTTAGTGAAAACTGGTCTATCTGTATATATCACTTTTCCTTGCTTTCCAGAAGAGGGTCAGAACACTTTTTTTTTTAAGCTTGGGGAAAAAAGTGTAGAATCATAGATAGACCTCAACTCTTCAGTGGGAGGCATTGTTTGCTCAGGGTCTCTGTATGCTTACTTCACAAGTTACAGTCAACATTTGATACATGTCACCTATATTATGGTCTACTTTTATTTTTTGTCAAAACAATATAGATAGGCTGTATCATTTTCACAAATGAGTAAACTTGAATTAATGTTTATTGATATGAACAGGGAATGATGAAACTTGTGAAACTCAGAAAGGAAGCAATTCGCTCAATATGGATATACACACATGTATTGCAATATCACTTGTGCAGTTCATACACAAGAGAGGTGGTGGATGATTCTGACAGCTCTCAGAAAAAAAGGAATCAAAGCAAAAATTGAGATGACATTGTATTTATATCGTATTGCATTGTGAGGTCGACGCTCACCCGCTTTACATCGCTGGCTTCGTGGAATATGTACTCAAAGAGATGCCTGGCAAGAGCTGGCTTCTTGGCATAGTTGTCCATGTTGATCCGAGCAATATTAATGAAAGGCCCATCGGGTTCAGAGACCATGGAGGCGGTCACCAGCCGGACGTGCCTTCCAGATGCAGCCGACACCGGTCTTGCTGTCTGGGCTGTGCGAGCTGTCCTCAAAGCCTTCTCGATGCTTCCCCCTTGAGTAGCCTGAGTGGTGGGTCGAACGACACCACTCAGTGGACGCCCACTCTCTGTCTGAGGCCTATAGACAGACAAATTACATTTCATACATCCTTTCCATAACACCAGCTTCACTGTCTTGGCAGTATGAGCCATTCTCAAAGCAAACTCCACATTTCCCTCTTTTGATAATCTGGGTAGGTACATGATAGAATTCAATAAATGTTCACTCTCTCTGAGCTTTGGGGGTGAAACCATGAATCCTCCATGCTCTTAATTATAGGACACACCTCATCATTTCACTTTATGCATTAAGTGTCCCAATAAAGTTGTGCAAAGCTTTGATAATGATACTGCACTGCCCGATTGGAATGATGCATGAAACTGTCAGAATTAGATCTTAACCCTTGGTAGTGCCTCATAATACAGGGTGATTAAAAAGCAGTGGCATAGCAAGGAGGGGGCTGTTAGCCCCCCCAACTCTGATCAAAATGCATATGTGCCCCCCCTGGCAAGAAGTAAGAGTAGCCCCCCCACCGTTCTGCTTTGCTGGTGAAATCCTGGCTATGCCACTGTTAAAAAATCCCTCCTGTGGTGCTTCATACTGGTGTGCAGACACTACAGTTCATATGAGGGTCCAACCTGGGGACCAGATTATTAAGAAATGCAGAATATGACAATGCTGAGTTAGGGTGGATATGAGGGCACCACCAATGCACACAGTGTTCAGGAATCTCTGTGTACAGGATGATTGAAAATTACTATAACCAAGGCTTCATTTCAAAAGCAGAAAATAGAAGAAAAATTGGAGTTTCATTCCCTCAAAGTACTCCCCATTAGCATTTACACACTGCTGCATCCTTATTTTCCACCTTTAAAAAGGGTCATGATAGACATACTGGACAGCTCTGCTAATTCAACCCTTACAAGCTATCAGTCATTGAGAATGACCTTCCAGCAATTCTGGACTATAGTTGAAGGAATAGCCAGAACTTGCTAGGAGCCCAGTTGGGAGAGTAGAGTGGGTGATGAAGAAGAGAGTTGCCCTGCTAGTCAAGGTGGGATGTCATCAGTTTTGCCTTGATAGGACCTGTATTGTCATGGTGAGGCAGCACTCATGGTGCTCATTTCATCGGTCTCATTTTCTTCAAGTTCTCTTTTCTGTCAGCCGTAATACAGGTGATTAACACTCTCTAGACAACAGTTTCTGGATGCAACACACTGCAGCAGATGACAGTTTTAGCAGAAGGTGATAGCAAGATGAAGTACTAAGGACCTAGCTTGTACTTGAACAATCACTGGGCTTGCAGAGCATACTGTTGATTTCCTGGTGATTTTTAATAATCGGGATGGCTATGCATCTCGTTGTCCAGTGGGAAGATGGGGAGGGGCAGCTATATTGTCTTATTACCAAGAGAGTGTTAAGGGAGAGGCACCAATTGTGCTCTCCTGATAGCATACATTATTTCCATATAAGGAAGCAATTCCAAAAAAGCACAAGCATGCCTAGCAATATATAGCAGTCTTCCAGTTGAATTGTATCCTTTAACTGAGGGAGTAACAAAGTTGCGTCTCAGTAGATCATTGCCTTGAGGAAGTCTCACAACCTAAACCTCCTCTCATTGTCATCTTCCAACATCAACATTGTCATCTTCCTCTGCATGCTTTGTTTAATTAATTTCCTAAGTTTCATTATCCTACGCCTTATAGTGCATGCACATTGGTGTCAAATGCTGTTGAGGGGATTTTATTTCTATCATCCTCAACATTTCAGCATTCCCCATGATCCCACTAATAATTCACAGTCTCAGAGGTTTTGCTCCCTAAAATCAGGGACAGAGTAGGCTATCATTATGAAAGACACAAAAAAATTGTATAAACATTGGAAGTATAGATAATAAGTTATTTTCTGGAATCAGCACTGAATGTGAATGCATGGCTTAATGGCCAATGCAGTCAGGCAGTAAACAGCAATGGAGGAGACAGCAACAGTGACCCAGTACATAATCCCCAATTCTTACTCCTTCATTTACATGTATTTCTAGTGCCTCTTTCCAATTCATTGAAGTTCAAACTACTAGCAGTAGCACAGGCTCAACTTATGCAGGCCACAACATCCTGCATCTGGTTGTAACATATAGCATCCTGGATATATTCTGACATATCCTATGGACATCTCACATTAGTCTCATATGGATGTTGCAAGAAGATGGACAGGGTGAATCAGAAAGGTTCCCCAAAGGTTATTGATCTATAGCATTTTTTTGTTTATAAATGTTGTTTGCTTTGATGAATCCATTCACCTTAGTTGTAGCCATGGAACCTATAGCTGCCCCCCCCTTTACAGAAACAGGATTGGATAAGAAAATAATTAAATAAACTAGGTAGGGAAGAAATGGAATGGACAGGATGACCTTGCCTGCTAGCCCCCCCCCCCCTATGAAGTTATTTTCAGGATACTCCTACTGAGGGGTGGTGGGTACCATAGAGACTAACCTAATCCCCACCTTCTCTAAATGTTGTTGGCACACCTGCTGTAACCCACCTTGGCTAATGTGCATAGATCAGAGAATCTGTATACATCCCTAAAATTGAAAATTGCTTGCAATGAAGAGAATCAGAAGAAAGCGTTTTCTCTGAGTTTCAGGCAATACTTTTCGAAGTCCTTGCCCACCTCTTTTTTGCACTTCAATTCCTGTATTGGAAATGAAAACTAAAATTTTCCACCAACTTTGTTAAATCATCACAGTTTGCATTCTGGTTTCTAATAGAGTTCTGGTTTCTTGTTTCACGTCACAATTATCATTCAGTGCAGAATTTCCTTTTGGATGTTCCATTTTTTGCTCTCCCTGATTATTTTGTGTCACCATTTTCCATAATGGTCATGAAATCTCTGTTCTTCCAGTAAAAAATGACTTCCAAGTTGACAAAAAAGAGAGACATTTCAATGAATGAGTCAATAGCTATTAAAATGGAATACCCTCCTTCAAGAAATTGAAAGTGCTTTAAAGATGCAGAGTGCTGTCCAGGACCATGACACTGGAAGTTGTCATCCTGCTTGAAGTCTGACCCTATTAAATTGGGATGAGTGGTTTTGAAAATGTATGTACGAGGGCTGTTCTGAAAGTTCTTAGCTACGTCATATATAATGGTACAATTGAAAAATTTGTATTATCAGGTAAAAGAACAATCCATTCCGAACGTTTCTGAAGATAGCCGTAGTCTTATCATCGGTCTATAAAAGCGGCTGACGCGATTGAAATTCATCACTTGCGGCTTTCGAGGAATTCTGCTTCACCATGACAACGCACTGTGCGACAACAAGCACCTGCACACAGTGCTGCTGGGACGTTGGACTTCTTACACCAATCTGGTGTCCAACTTTTGGAGCCATCCATCTTACAGTCCGGACCTGGCCCATTGCGACTTTTTTATTTCCTACAATAAAAAACAATGCGGGGAAGGATATTTTTGCATGCAGATGCAATCGTCGCAAAATTCACGAGCCTGTTTGAGGACCTGCCAAAAGAAACATTTTCAACTTGTTTTGGCAAATGGTTTCAAAGGATGAATAAGTTTATTAGTGTTGGGGGAGACTACTTTGGAAAACAATAAATAGAATTCAACAAAATTATTGGCCTTTTTTCTTTAACTAAAAACTTTCAGAACAGCCCTCGTATGTATAAAAAGTATATCAATTTGCCTAAAAAGAGGCAAGTGGAAGTTATTTATGGCACATAAACTGCAGTCTTCCTGGGATGTCTAGTGGAAGCAGTAATAGGCTATTGGGCATACCAGGGAAGTCCCAAGGATATGTTCAGATGTCCTCTGGAACATAATGCAATTGAATCTCTTGAACTTCAAACTTGTCCCATGTCTATCTATGGGTGTACCTATAGAGTATGTATTACGTAAATATTAACTCTGGGTCAATTTCACCCAAGTGTTCCCAACAGTTTCAATCCTTTGACGTCGTCTTATATGTCTGTTTACAGACCTTGGTTACGACTAATAAAAGTTTTAAATATTCTCTGAGATCAGTGCAGACATCTTATCAGCTGAAGATTTCAAAGTCAATGAGATAATATTTGATGTTATGACAGTTGATGGGAAGGGAAAAAGGGGGCTCTTCATGTGTCTTAAAGGGACATTATGACAGTCGGCAGGAAGCAAAGGCACTCCGTGATGCACTAGCAGCCACATCTACAGAGTGTGAGACAGATTACGACAACTTGGGACGTGGTAAAAGGGAAATGAGACCTCTTCACCGTTACAAAAATGAAGCTTTCCAGACTCTTGAAAATCTCCCTAACAAAGGCTTGAAGAGAGTTGATCAGGTACATCTGGGAATCAAGGGGAAGGCTGCTCTGAAAAAGAGTGCTGAAGTAAATATGGCAAAATCATTGCTCAAGAAAATGGAGAATCATGGAAGTCCATCCACATCAAGAAAGGGAAGAAACATATCGAATGTCAAAGTTGGTCATTATGCAGCTGCTGTGAGTGGAGCTGAGTCTATTGCAGGTAAGATATTTTGACAGTACTGTCATCATTGTCCAGATGTTGCAACCTTTAGCAAATCTATTTCAATTTTAAGTCACTTCATTCTTCTTAGATGGCACCAGTGAGGAGTCTGACTGTGATGAGCTTGTTGACAGTGAAGGCAACTGTTGTTCTTCTGAACTGTCTGACTCAAGGAGCAAATACATTGGACTGGAGAGGAAATATCACGATTTGAGGAGGAATCGTCGTCATCTAAGAGAGAATTATTCTTCACTGAAGAAGGAGCACAAACATTTCCTGAAGTTGCACCAGCATTGCACAGGTAAGTCATAAAAGCACATGCTGTAGGTATTTCATAGGGTTTGCAATGTATAGTGGAGCACCATCTTGTATGAAAATTGATGCATCACACCATGTTCATTAACCTTTATCATACTTGCATACATTTGTTTGTACATTAACCTTTAGCGGACGAATAAAGTGCACTTTAGTGGACTTTAGTACTCTCGCTGAGCATGGCCCTCACCTCATGCTGTGTTGCCATCGATAAGCACATGAAGTTGCTTCATTATTCTTGGAATTCCCATACCAGAGCCCAGTGAGCTTAATTCTCTGCTTCAAGCTCAGCATTATAGTGACTAGTTAAAAATTGCTTGAATGTGTATTCACCCTATGCATCCTATTCCTAAGGTACCATAGGGTACCATGTGTGACCACTATGTCAACAGGCCACCACGAAACTGTATACGTTTCTTCCGCATGGTCTAATTGGTCTACACACCAAGTTTCACGGTGTTGTGTCCATTGGTTTCCTGGGGTCAGTCATCTGGACAGTGGAAGTGACTTTTGAAACGCCCTGTACCCTCATATATCTAGCTGATACCCATGCAACAGTGGATCCATAATTTTTTGTGGAGGGGAGCAGCCCCCCTGGTCAATAGGGATAGGGATAGGGATAGTGATAGGAATCATAGGGGAGGCAGTCACACCCCCTCACCCCCTTTGGATATGCCATTGTACACATGTCCATGTCTTGCCACTTTATTACATGTGACTTTTTACAGGTTTCCAGAAATCTGTAGAAAAACTCTCAGTGTTGGTGGACAGACTTGATGGCCAATTGGCTGGTTCTATGTACCTTCAATCACATGGATCAATGGAAACTGAAGCTTCTGCTGCCACCATTGGTGAGGAAGATGCTGCCAGGCTTCAAGTACTACAATCTCCTCATCCCAGTGTGAGTTTTTTCAGTCAACTCATGAAAGATTTTATTGTACAATCCTTGAGAGTTCAGAGTTATAGGAGTGCACATTTTTCGTACATTTAGTCCATGGTTAATTCTTCAATTGCAGCGAGTGCAGATCCATAAGGACTTTGAAATCCTTATGCACAAGGATGCTAGAGCACGGATTTTGACTTGTGGTTCAACGCCAACAGCATTGGCTCGTCAGTTCGCTGTGGCTGTTTTCTGTGATGTCGTCCTGCTCACATGTAGTGCTGGTGGACAAAGGCCTAGAGTGAAAGGACATGGAACTGGGGAAGCTCGACCAGCCTTACCCCGACCGGCAATGGATGCAATTCGCGGTAGGAAGCATGAATGCATGGTTAATGGCGCTGTAACATCCAACCATATTTTCCTATAATTGAATTGCTCATTTGATTTTGATTCATTCTTTGATGAACCTGAAATATGTCTGCGTCATAGCGTCTGTGTCATAGCGTCTGTGTCATAGCGTCTGTGTCATAGCGTCTGTGTCATAGCGTCTGTGTCATAGCGTCTGTGTCATAGCGTCTGTGTCATAGCGAGTTTGTTTGCCCTTCGGGCAAACAAACTCGCTTTGGTCGCGCCTTCGCCGCTCCCTTACCTTGGATAGTGATTAATTCATTCATTTTTTGCGAAATGGGAAACACGTATTTAAAGTACGTCCGCATTGAAATACATGACATTTGTGTCGAAAGTCTTGATTTTTATCAAACTCATTATCTCTATGATTCTATGTGTGCCTAACTTTAAATCTTTTCTTGTGACACTTTTTGAAAGGGTGAAAATACATTTTCAAGTACTTCCCTCTTATAATCTACGCGGGAGACATATTTCAAAATTAGGATTTTTCCTCTACTCAGCCAACAAACAGATACTTCTGAGGGAAGTTTAAATTTTCTCTGTTTCGTTGAATCAAAAAAATCAGGAAATTGGGACTGAAAAAAAGTGTCATATTGGGATTCAACGAAATTTTTTTTTCTTTTGAAATGTAGGCTCAGGGAACTCCATGCCACCCAGTTTCAGCCTCATACGTTTCCCCTTTTTGCTGGCGGAAAAAATGTATTTGGAAAAGCCGACCCAGCCAAAAGCTATGTCCGGAGGGGATGCCCCATGAAAGCTCAATACTCCCTCAGTTCAGTAATATCATGTCACTTATACGTGTGCCAAGTTTCACCTTTCCATTTCTGTCCAAATCGTCACAACAATTTTTTTCCCAAAACATCGCCCCTCGAAAAAATTCCCCCAAGACAAAATTCTTTTCAAATCATCGCACCTCGAAAAAATTCCCCCTGGAGATGTATCGAGATTTAACATTTTTATTTAACTCCATGCCACCCAGTTTCAGCCTCATACGTTTCCCCTTTTTACTGCCGGAAAAAATGTATTTGGAAAAGCCGACCCTCCCAAAAGCTATGCCCGGAGGGGATGCCCCATGAAAGCTCAATACTCTCTCAGTTCAGTAATATCATGTCACTTACACGTGTGCGAAGTTTCACCTTTCCATTTCTGTCCAAATCGTCACAACAATTTTTTTTCCAAAACATCGCCCCTCGAAAAAATTCCCCCAAGGGATGTATGGAGACTTAACATTTTTATTTAACTCTTTGTCTCAGTAGTCACATTCATGCAAAGTTTCAGCTTTCCATGCTCATCAGTTAAACTGATGCAAAATAATTAACAAAAAACATCTCCCATTGAAATTTGTGACCCCTGGGCATTTACTGCAGTCTGAAGTCTGAAGTTTTCTGCAGCATCCCAATAGGAAGTTATGTACCAACTTTCATATTTCCACACTAACTTAATACACCAGGACCAGAAAAATGCTTGGAAACGTCGGCTCCAAAAATATGCCCCCAGGGCATGGATCTAAAATTTTTCATTTTTCCTGAATTCATCGTCTCGGTAGGCACGTCCATACCAAGTTTCAGCTTTCCATGTCACCGTTTTACTGTCTGCCAAAAAAAAGTCAAAAGAAAGAGGTTTGACCGGGAATTGAACCCATAACTTCTGCTTGTCAGTCAGAGGTGCTACGACTACACCACCGAACCCAAGACATTCCATGACACTCTGAATGCCATCCTCATCTGTCACAAAGTATATTTAAGAAAAACGTTTCCCCCCGAAATTTGTTCCCCCAGGGCATATACCTCCAAAGTCGGATTTTTTCTGAACTCTGCATCCCAAAAG